TTTATTTCAGAAAATCAAATAAGGCTCTTTATTAAGCACTCAAGATCCCTGTGTTCCAAATCTCTGGTCCAAGTACTAACCAGGCCCGACTCTGCTTAGCTTCCGAGATCAAATGAGATCGGGCGTGTTCAGGGTGGTATGTCCATAGACCCCTCTGTTCCAATTCTTAAGGTATCTCCAAAGGTTGTTCTGTCCCAAAAAACCCACATAACCCTAAAATATGACCTGTCACAGTACTTCTAATCACTGTTTGCTTTGACAGAAAGCAGACAGAGAGGGGAAGAGCAGAGAAGGGAGGCTGGTGAAGGTAACTCCTTTCAGCAGGCCTCATCCGCCCTGTGCCAAAACGAGACTGGGTCACGCTGTCTTTGGGAAGAGCTAGAGAACTCTCATGAACGAAGCTATAAATACAAAGCATAATTCTGCCTCTAGACGGAGGCCACTGTTTGTCTCTAGACCACATCTACTACACAGGGTCTTAACAAATCAGCCAGGCTTCTTATGGAGCCAGCCACCTAACAGTCATGATCGCTTCCTGATTAAAATGCTACTAAAAACAAATCTTTATTAAACAAGGTGGAGGGGCTAGAGAGAGTTCACCGTTTTTCTTCAGGTCTTGCACCCCCGGCCCACCTTACCCTATTTAATCTGTGGCTGGCTCCTCTCTGGCAGGGCAGTCCCTCTCCCTACAACATTTGATGGTGGAATTTTGAGGCTGAGCAAACTCCTTTCAGAACTAGCCGAAATGGTTCAGGGAGTGTTTTTCTGGGATATGTGAGGTCCGCGTGCAAGGGTGCTAGCATGTACTAGATTCCAGAGCTCCAGGGGGCAGGACCGCGTCTGTCTTGTTCTCTCCTGATCACTTGGTGCTGTCACACGACAGGGGGTCACTATTTATTTATGGACTGAATGAATCAGATACATTCACTCTAATGAGAGAGGAGGGGAATTATGTGGGCAGCTGGGTCTCAGTTCATGGTCAACAATAACTGACTGCTGAGTGCCTGCTGCTTGCAGCTCCATCAGCTAGACCGGAGCTGGACAGTGGGTGGCAAGGAAGCGGAGTACCAGTGGCAGAGCACTCTCTGAAACCAACTGGCACCTAAAAAATACAGCAGCAGCAAGTGATGTTCTTCAAGAGAGGAAAGAGTCTACACATACTCAGTGCCAGAAGAAAAAGATGCTGGGAAGGAAGCCATAATGAAGGAAGCACGTGTGGCTGGGGGTTGGGGAGAGCACAAGGAGAGAGGAGAAGCCAAGACACCAGAGTGAGAGCAGGCCCAGCGGATGGGGTGGAGCCTGTGCCACACCTGACGGCAGGCGTGGAAGGGAGGCGGCCCGAGAGGACAGACTGGGCATCTGAGTGCGGCTCCCCGCCCTGGGAGGCCCCCCAGCCGTGCCACACAACGTCAACCTGCCATCCTCTGCATCTGCCTCCAACACCTGTCTTTGTCGCTAAGCCGAATTCTATTAATTTTCATGTCTTGGCCAAGACATCAAGCACTGCCACAGAAAGCCTCTGGCAGCTTGCCACACCCCCTGGGAGTCGGGGGGTCTGGGTCTAAGGCTACCTGCCCACCCCCCAACCTGGCAGAATGCCTGACATGCAGCGGGTGATTATTTAAAAACCAGATGGAGGGAAAGTGGGTGCAGATATTCGCAAAGTGAACAGAAGTGATTGTTTAAAAGTCTCCGTTCACACAGAGGTCAGATTTGGGCTTAAACACTTTCATTTTGGGGAAAAGGGTCAGGTACCCCTTGGAGTCCCTGGACAATCTGCAAGAGATGGTGAGAAAGGGCAGAAAAAGGACAAGGCTCAGATGGGAGAGGCAGGAACATGACAGCCAACTGCCTTGTTTCCAACCAGGTGAAAAGCAGCCCCTGGTGCAGGGTGCTACTTCAACCCTTTGCCTGCCCTAGAAACCTACAGGCAGAAACATTCCTCAGAAATAAAGTTTTTCTGATCTCGCTGTCCCAAGAACTTGTGTTGACAGCTTCGACGATTGTCTTAGCCATGAGGAAATAAGCTCACCATCAGAAGACAGAGCAACATTAGCCCTAGAAGACACTTCTTTAATTTAGGATAAAAGGAACCAAAGGAACTGGCAGAAAGGTCAAAAAGGGTGGCGGACCCACAAGAGAAACTTCAGGAACCTGTCGTCCTCCATATTAGAAAGTGTTCCAGAAGGTGTGTGGAGGGGAGGAGGGCAGCCAGTCTGCAGTCATGTGTACACATGCCTCTTGAGGTGAGAGCCTCAATTTCTAGAACCTGGTTGTTTGTAGTTCTGGTTCTGCCTCTTAGATTCTTTGGTGCCTGAAGTCTTTATTCATATGACCGGAATTTCACATGCATCCTCAAACCACGGTAAATACAGCAATAGCTTATCTTATGAAAAAAATAAAGGGGAGATAGGAACACATTTTCCACATTTCTTATGCTACAAAGAGGCAAAATGTCTTCCAGCAGGTGAAAGTGGGGAGAGTGCATTTAACATGGAAAAGAGAAATGCTTCAAAGACACACAGAGTGTGTGGCCAGGCTGCAGAATACACAATCGTTCCTCTCTGGTTTCTTGGGATCCGTAAAGCAGAAAGGTTGCGACTGTCATTTTTACTTTACATATGAAGACATCGATCGGGCATGGTGGTTCACACCTGTAACCCTAGCACTCTGGGAGGCCAAGGTGGGAGGATAGCTTGAGCTCAGGAGTTCGAGACCAGCCTGAGCAAGAGCAAGACTCCATCTCTCCTAAAAATAGAAAAATCAGCCAGGCGTGGTGGCGCGCACCTATAGTCCCAGCTACTCAGGAGGCTGAGGCAGGAGGATCACTTGAGCCCAAGAGTTTGAGGTTGCTGTGAGCTATGATGACAACACTACACTCTACCCAGGGTGACAGAGCAAGACTCAGTCTCAAAAAAATAAAATAAAAAGACACGTACAGAAGGTAACATTTTAAAAGCATTTTCACAGAACAGGACTTAAGTACAGTTTGTTATCCTGTAATTCTACCTGATATTTTAGTTCTTGACTAAACAAGTGTATAATCAAACCCTTTGTTATGTGAAACACACTGACTCACATAGCCATGGTTTAGTCCTGTTTATTTTTGTTTTATAAATTTTGAGACTACATTGTTAATATATATTGATATTCTTCCTTTTATAACTGAAGATCCTCTTTATTTCTAACAATGTTTTATGCTTTCAAGTCTATTTTAATATTAATATTCCTATACCAATTTTTTTGTTAATATTTTCCTGCTAGATCATTTTCTTATACCGTATATACTTTGAAGCTTCCTGGGTATTTATGTTCAGGTGTTTTCTTCGGAAATAATACATAGCATAATTTTTAAATGATAGTCAATCTGAGATTCTTTGTCTTTTAGCAAGTATAATCTATTTTGCATTTGGTATAGTTACTGATATTTTTGGACAAATTTCTACATCTTATGTTGTAATTTCTACCATGATTTTTGTTGTTCTAATTTCTTTTGCTTCCTCCAGACCCATTTTCCTGAGTTTTCATTTATCTGGTTTTCTGTATTTTTTTCCCTTTAAAGTGGTTTGGAAGTGATGCTTTCTATCCCTGTACTATTAGTCGTCATTCAAAAATGCTAATATGCACACCTGAACCAACAATCTAAGATAAGCAGCATGCCTGCTGCCATCCTGCTCAGAACATCTTACCATCTCTTGTGTTACCATGAGCTGATACTTTAGTTCGTTTTCAACTCCCTCCCAAATTCATTGTCTTTTCTTTAAATGGTCAATCCTTTGATCTACAAACATATTTCCCAATTTCTTTGCTCATTATTGATCACAGCCCATTCTTCTCATACTTTCTTTTTATCCACTTAATTAACTGAAAAAATACTTGCTAAATACCTAAACATGTCAGGCATTTGTCTAGGTGCTGGTGACACTGAACAAAACAAAGTCCCTGTTCTCGTGGAGCTTAAATTACAGTGGGTGCTTATATTATTCTTACTAAATAGTTTTTACGGTAAGTATGTAAGTGGTAAACTCTCAATCTTGGTCTATAGTTTGTCCCCACTATTGAGTTCAGCTGGGTACAGAATTCCAGTTCAGACTTACTTTTCCCTCAGGACTCCATTCCATTATCTTCTGGAATCTATGGTTGCTGATCAGAAGTTGGCTTTCTCACAGGCGTCATTTTGTCAATTCTCTCTTCTTGTTTTTAAGATTGTCTTTGATGTTTCTTAGTTTTACCACACTATGTCTGAGTTTGGATCTGTCCTGCTTAGACAACTTCTTTTTCAAATGAATTTTTCAGATATATATACATATATACATATATATATACCCACATACACACACATGTGCCACATTGTTGTACTCTCTCCCTTCTTCACTCCCCTTTCTTTCAAAAAACCCAACAAAACAAAAAGCACATTTCCCAAACCACCATGAGCTGTGAGGAGGAACTGCATGTGAGCTTTACAAGATGCTGCCGCACACCGCCTTATCCTTGCTTCCTCTCTAGGAGCCACTCCTGGGCCTATTTTTCAGAAAGCTACCTTTAGAGAGGTTAAGTTACTTATCACCAATGCTCAAACTCTGTAAATCCCACACTCTGGACATGCTGCACTCCTGTCTCCTGTTTCCTAAGCACACGCATTTAAAAGAACTGGAAACAGGACAAACAATGCTGGTCCATTATTACAGAAAGGGATCATTTTTCTCCAACTACGAATTGAAATTTCACAAATTAGTCAACAGACATTAGTATAACAAATATGACAAAAACATCCCAGATATATTTCTGTTTCAGGAACATCATGTTTTACAAAAGGGCCAACTGACAAATCACGTTTCTGCCTGGACAATGACAACTTCACTCTGAAATCTGAGCACTGACCCCATCTGAATCACCTCCAACATATCCAGCTAATGCTAACTTACCTCAAATGTGGTGAAAACTGTAATTCAAAGCCAGCCACAGGGGTACTTACGGGATAAAATAGCAGAAGCCATTACCTGTGCCACTTCTTCAAAATCCTCATGACGTTTCTGCAAAGCTCTGGCCCGATGCAGAGATTTCCCCACACCTGTGTGTTTGCTCAGGAATGCTTCTCCGTGGTTCTCGATCCAATCCAGCACCTGCAAAGAAATACGGGTACATATGCCATAAGAACTATGTCCTGCCTTGTTCAATGTTTAGGGGAATTCAAGGAAGACCCATTCTGTTGTCAAATCTCTAAGAAACAAGAAGCAAATGAGAAAAAAAATCTGGAAGATACAACTGGATATTAATTTAACACATTTGATAATTACAAGCTGATAATTACATCAGCTTTCCCACCAGGACTTTAATCAGCTCTTATGTTAAAAGTGTAAATCTTTTCATGTATAAACGTTACATGCAATAATGATTAAATTAAATCTCACCTCATTTTACGCATGACTGAGCCCCCGAACTGACTGGGTTTTGCATAAGATAGTGATTATCAAGCCACAGAGGACCAATTTAAGGTAACATTTTTATAAGGCTTAAAACTACACAACTCAGGGAATTTAACTTTAACTACAGAGTTAATTTTTTTCTATCTCTTCTGTAGAAGACTCAAAACACATAAGTAAAATCCAAACAAACATTACATATGCCTTAGTCCTGATTTTTAAGGATAACTTATTTTTTAAACAAAGATGCCTGCAAAAGCTAAGCATTCCACGAATTACTTAAAAATTCTTGCTAGTTGAAATCCACTAAAGAGAAGGAGTGAAAGCAAAGCAGTGCGATCTGATGTTTTAAATTTCGTGGTTGGGACTGGTAGTTCATTGGTTCCTGTACTTCGGAAATCACAAAACACCAACAATATCTAATAAAATACAGTTGACTCTTAAATAAAACAGGTCTGAACTGTGCAGGGCCCCCTAATACGTCATTTTTTTTTCAATAAATACAGTTGGCCTTCCATATTGGTGGGTTCCACATCTGCAACCCAACATGGATGGAAAATACAGTATTTGTAGGATACATAACCCATGTATATGGGTTTTCTCATCCTTGGGTTCCAAAGAGCCAACTGCGGGACTTGAGTACGTGCGGATTTTGGTATCCATGGGTGGTCCTGGAACGAGCCCCCGCAGATACTGAGGGATGACTGTATTTACACTACATCAAATGTCCACTTTGTCTCTCTCTGATGAAGAGGCGATAACCAGCAAAAAAACTAAATTATTGATATTTCTAGCTAAAAACTAAAAAATGTAAGTACATTTGTTAATGTGCTGCCAAAGTATTTAAGCCTCATTCATACTTTGCACGTTTGTAACTATGTTATTCTCTTAATCCATTCATGCTGCTACAACAAAATACCTTATACTGGGTAATTTAGAAACAAAGAAATTTATTGCTCACAGCTCTGGGGACTGGAATGGTCAAGCTCAAGGCACTAGCAGATTCAGCGTCTGCTGAGGGCTCATCCTCACTGGTGGCACCTTCTGTGTGCCCTCACAAGGCTGAAGGGGCAAACGAGCTCCTCTGGGCCTCTTTTATAAGGGCACTAATCCCATTCACAACGGTGGCACCCTCACGACCTCATCCCCTCCCCAAAGCTCCACCTCTTAATATCACCACCTTGTGGATTATGTTTTAACATATGAATCTGGGGGAACATATTCATAGCAGGGACCTAAGGATGCAGATCAAAATGATCTTGGATTAAAGAACAAACAGAGGCATGCGCAGCAAACACAGTGGTCCGGAGGGCAGTCTGGAAGCAGGCCAGCCACAGCGCTCTGGTAATGGCAAAATGAAAGGGGCTTAGCTTGTGGTTCCTTGCTACAAAAAGGATCCCTTGCCCTTTATTAACTGTACTGTGGAGAGAGCAGCTGCACTGACAGATATCTAGAAAAAAAGATGCAGCTGGCAAGGGCCAGTGCCTGATTTGTTCTCCATTGCTCCAAATCAGTGACCTTCGAACCTGAGGGTGGCCTAAGGGTCTTTCCTGCACAGGGTCTAGCAAAGTCAGAATTACATGTAAATAAAAAATGGCTTGCAAACCTTGACAAACCTCTTGTGGTCCTCTGTGAAGACCCTTGTAGAGCTGGCAGAAGCTGAGATTAGATGTGCAGGACATGTGGGGTAGGGATGGAGCCAGGCCTGGCAGTGGGTGTGCAGGCAAAGCTACACATTCACCTTATGGCTACAGTTTATTCCTGAGCCTTTGTTGTCAGTATTGTCATTCTGCTGTCCCCTGGGCTTACTGCCAGAGCCATTCTTACTGGCTCCACTGTCTTCTGTCAACTGTGCCAATGTGTTGCCCAGTTCTTCTGATTCTCCTTCCGAAAGCTCCCCCGTTCCCACCCCTTCATTTCCAGCCCCCTTGCACACAGACATAAAATCTAGCTGCTGCTCTTAGGCAAGTTCCTTGCCCTTTCTCAGCTTCCATTTCCTCCCCTGCTCAACAGTGACAATCAGGGGGAGTGGTGAGCATTAGATGGCATCTAGGTTGAGCTTTTTATTTTGAGTGCAGCAAAAAAACAGCACATGTGCCACCCCCACACATAAACCAGAACCTGCAGCAGGCTTCCATCTCACCTTGAGCTCCTTGATGGCACAGGCTATGCACACTGCATTGCTTTTTTACTAGTGTGCTGAGTACATTATTTTTCTTTCTTGAGATGATACAGACAGAAAAAAAAAGGAGAAAAAAGAGAGAGAGACACAGACAGACCCCTTTAAGGTAGTGCTGTATGCACCACCTGACTTCAAGGCAGATGTAAAGCTGCTGAGTTGTTTACAGGACAGTCTCTTGGTATGTATTATAAAACACAGGTCCTGTTCCATTCCTAAGGAAATGTCTCAATGAGAACTTCAAGACCTCTCAATCTCTAAGAATGGATACATGTACTGGAATGTGCCTCTGGGTACAAGGCCAGTGCCATGCAGAAGACAAGCAGTTTAAGCCTGAAGAGACTGTAAAGGTATGTAGGTAACACCTACACCACCGTCCACCTGCCTGCAAGATCTACATGAAGGGCTAGGGAGACTTTTTTTTTAAATACTATATAGTGTATTCTGTATACTCCTCAACTGTAAAAAGAAAAAGCAAGCCACCAGTAAGCAGCAAACCTCGTGATTACTGGCAACTCCACAGAGAATTGAAAAAAGAGCACAATTTCAAAAAGTAAAAGATAAACATTATTTGGTAGAAAGGGCTAGAAGAAGCAAAATGCAGTATTTTAAAAATACTAAAAATTTGTTTTTTAAGCATAAGAAAAGTATTTCAGGAAGTACAAGGTGGAAATAAAAGCCATTATGAACCCACCACTCAGGGTTATGAAGAGCACTTTTATCAGCGGTTCTTTCAGACAGAAATGTAAATACCAGGTAAAGCATATTGCCAACAGACATGAAAGTAATTCAAAGGAGAATGTAAAAATTCCAAGCACTTTATTAAAATAATTGCAGACAGTTATAAAATCCAGCTAATACTCAAAACCAAACTCCTCCACAAGGCTTCTGCTTCTGTTATAAGGATGGGTAGACTTCCCAGCTTACCGAGTGATCCTGAATCAATACACGTACCTAAGTAACATTTTAAAGACATGCCTGTGGAATGTCTCAATTTAAAACATAAAAAGATTAGCAAGTCAGGGGCTTTATCATCCTAGCCCAGCCAGCTTCCTCCCTGACCTCAGTGCTGGCCAGCGGCTGTCATCTATTTGCCCTGTGACCTCAACCCAGGGACAAGGAGGCTGGCACAGGCTTGCTGCCTTCCTTCCAGATTCAATGGAAAGGGCGAAAGCTGATCCCTTCTCATGGCTTCCTGGCCCAGAGGCAGAAGAGCAAAGCTGGGAGGGCACGACCACCTTCCTCTCTGTTTAGAGGATGTGGGGGCTCCTTCCTCTGTACATCAGTGCCCTCTAATGGACACAATGACAGCCCCAAGGTCGAGGTCACTCCAAAGTGCATCACCCTCACTTAAATCAGCACTTAAGTCAAATGTCAGACGTGCAGGAAATCGTATGGATTGTTTAGCTTAACCCTCTGTTTGTAATGAAAAGGAAACCAAGGCCCTAATTACAAGACTGAACATGATGATGGCAAGTGTGATTATGATCATTTATAAACTAATAATCACCTTGCCATCTGAGCACCTGCTGCTGAAGTAGGCACTGACCTAAGGCTGGTTGTGCACTAAGCCATCGGTCGTCACATTGAATCACCGGTAGGTATGACCCTTATCCCTCTTACAGATGAAGACACAGGACACAGGGGTCTCAGCTACGTTGCAGAAAAGCCATTCGTGGACTGGGTCCCAGGACACCTGGCCTCAGGGCACTTCCTTACCTCTAGTCTACTGCCTCTTCTTTGAGTTGGCACAAGTGACATGCATGTAGGTAGAAAAGGAAAGAGCTCCATTTTTGTTCCAGAGAGGTTCAGGCTATCAAGTAAATAACCTCTGAGGAAAAGACATTGTCACAATGGACAGCAAAGCTAGGATACGGCAAATCAGCAAACACTTCCCAACCCTCTATTCAACGCCTCAGGGACCGGCCACAGGCACCTTCCCACCCACTCCCTGCAGCAGAGTTGTGGCCATCCTGCATAACCTAGCTGTAAAATAATTTTCTACAGTAAGCCCTTACTAGCTAATATTTACTAGGTTTTGTGGATTCGTATTTCGAAGTAATTACTATTTCTTTAAGGACCTGTGAATAACTACTAAATCCTCATCGAAGAGGAGACTAAATCTCATAAAGCCCACCTCACAACAACATGTGCTATGAAGACCCATGTAAATGATATTTTTCCTTTAAAATGCAGAGGTGTTTATTTCAAATACTTACTAGAGTAGTTTTCTATCATCATCATGCATCATGTCATTGTCATCAGCATCATTTATTGCGAGGCTATTCTGTGCTACGCTTGGGAAGGGCAATATAGGTCCATAACCCCTTATCCACAAAAAGCTCTGAAATTCCAAATATTTTCTCAAAATTTGGTTCCAAAATTCATTTGGCAATAAAACTTCACCTGAGGGTATTTATAGTCTTTATTGATGCCTTTAATGTGAGTTTTTATACATTTGGCTGCAGAAACAGCCGTGTGTTAGATCATGGGGGGCTGCCCAGACTCTGCTAGGAGTGTT